CTGAAAGCATGTTGACATACTAACTGTATCTCATCTTCCCTCACTCACACATCCAGCATCTAGACATCTAACTGCATAATCACTCTCCTCGCATCACACCTCCAGCATCCTAGACATCTAACTGCTATCAACTCTTCCCTCGCATGACACACCTCCACATCCTAGACATCTAACTGCCTATCATGACCCTCTTCCTCGCATTCACACTCTTAGCTAACTGCTATCACTCTTCCCTTGCACTGCGCACCTCTAGCATGTCGTAACGACTATTCATCTGTACCCAACGATGCCGGAATCGACACCTCGAGCGCTCGTTGACGATTTGCGTTGATGCCGCATGATAGATGTTAGTGTATGATTGAGCGGCACGAATTTGCTGCGCTGACCAATCCTTGATCGCCTCCTGCGCGGAGGCACGACCCCCTACGACACGCCGCGACGGAACGCGAGCTCGGCAGCACGTAGCGAACAACCCTCGTGAATAGTCGGTCGTCGTCGCCGGATCGCCGGCAAGCCGCCCACTCGGCGAGCAGCCGGCTCGCCACGCGCTTCAGCAGCGCAAATGTCCGTCTCCACCTCCCCCGCGCGCGGCACCGGGCACGGTAGCGGTGTGCTCGCCGCGGACCGCCCGACGGCACGCAGCAGCGCATGACCACCACCGTCGCGTTGTCGTGCGCCGTCGTCCGGCCAAGCGGCGCCCTCTAGCGGCGGGGCGGCGGCTGTCGCGGGCGTGCGCGCGGCGTGCTCCTCGCGCGACGCGAAGCGGGCCAGGCGCGTCACGTGCAGAAGGGCGGCGCCGGCGGCAAAGCGGCACAGGTCGTCGTCGTGCGCTCCGCGCCGCGGGCAAGCGAGCTGGCTGCAGCTGCGCGTTGACGCGCGCGCGCACGCGGCTCGGAGGTCGCGGCGTGCCGCGGCGCGGTAACGCCCTGCAGCGCCACGTAAGCGCGTCCCGAGTCGGAGGTCATGTCCGGGCAGCGTGCCGCGCAGAGCAGCGAGCCGCGCCTCTTGTCGACAAAGTCCTTGACGTGCGCGTGCCATGATCAGAACGCCTTGCTCTCCTTCAGTGAGCCACATGCAGGCCTGCGGGGCGAGACGCAGCACGATTAGCGCACGGTGTTGCTGCAGTAATAGATGCGCGTCAGTAGCTAGATATGACACTGCTATATTAGCTAGGGGGGATGGCACTTGCTACATAGCTGATGGCACTGCTACATAGCTAGATGGCGGGCTATCATGTTAGTTAGATGAACAACTGTCATGTAGCTAGGCGACACTGATACATAGCTAGACGATATTGTCGGGTAGCTAGATGACACTGCTATATAGCTAGATGACACTGCTATATAGCTAGACGACACTGCTATATAGCTAGATGGCACTGCTACATAGCTAAGATGACACTGATAGCATAGGCTAGATGGCACTATCATGTAGTTAGATGACATTTGTCATGATAGCTAGATGACAGCTGATACATAGCTAGATGCACTGTTTGTATAGCTAAGATGGACACTGCATATAGAGCTAGACGACACTGTCGGTAGGCTAGATGAATGCTATATAGCTAGATTGACAACCCTTTGCTGTTATGCTCAGATGACACTGTCAGATAGCTAATTGACATTGCTATATAGCTAGATCACACTGCTATATAACTATATGACACTGCTATATAGTTAAATGACACTGCTACATAGCCATATGTTTACTGCAGGTGTCATCATAATAATTACATGTCGTACGTATGTATCCACAGAGCAACTACTGATCCCAACTCTATAGTGATTCTAAATCCTAAACCAATCCCACTAATCATAAATCAATACTCATGCTAAATCTCACCTGATCCTTGAAGATTTCCTGTATGCGGCTCGGGATTTCGTCCGGCATTAAAGCCGTGTTAACTGCCTTAACAGCTTCATCAAAGTTCTCCTCCTCACGCAGTCCATCTTCATTCTCGATCACGCCCCCCATGATCAGCTTCTTGAATTCCTTCTTCTCCTGCAAACACAATTCAATATTGCTACAGGATTTACAGTGACAACGAGCCCGCTGTGATAGAACGCGACTATGATAGAATTACACTACAATGGGAAAAGATGGAACATGAAGAGCAGGCTTCACCTTTTCACAAGGCAGATTGGCTCAAGCCCCGTAAACAGCCCCGTCTCTGGTGTACACGGGGCTTTTTTCCGGCCCCGTCAAATTTTGAGATTCCGAGAATCGAAAACGAAAGTCAATTCGAGAAATATCCAAATATCATATATACCAAATAGTAGGGAATAAGCATAGTAACAATCAGGTAAACAACACACGGGAACGATGAGCTGTTTAAACTTCTGAAATCACTCCCGTGAGGCTCAAAATAGCTCCCGCAAAAATTTTAGAGCTATTTTTCCAACAGACTTTTGAAAAAGAGCTCCCGTAAAAAAAAGTTATTTTTTCACTGGTAACAATACTTATGAATGTAACAAAGATTTTATTACATAATTCATCAGTTTAAAAACATCAGCCGCATCTAGAGAAAATCAGCCCCGTCGAGCAAATGACGGGGCCGTTTTTTAGGCCCCGTGGTTTTCCCAGACGGCGAAGCTTGGAAAAGCTTTTGTTTGTTTTATATCAGTAAGCAATAGGCCCAGTAGAATTAATAATATAATGCACAATAAATTAATTACTATGCACATTCTCTCTAGATTTCTACCAATATACTACGTTGCAAGTGTGTAAATATTGAGTTTTGCAATAATCTAGACTAGAACCAATTAACTGATTAATAGATCAATTTAATCACATACATTCATACATTACCCCTGTGCACACAGTTTTTAATTGTTCGACAAACATTAATTAATTAATGTCAAACAAGATTGCTTCTAGATGTAATATGATAGCGTATGTAAATTACTTTGATAAGAAATATCATGGTAAAGGAAGAGCGATGAAGGAGGCTGAGCGAGGTACAAGGGAGGCAAGAGGAAAGATGGGATGGGATGAAGTAGGTGTTTTGTACCCCACAGGCTAGGGCGCTCTCCTAATTATAAACACAGGTCTACCGATAACAATTTATTACATAAATCTATATTGAGATACCCTATAACCATATTAAATGCATATTCATCACAAAATATAACTCCTGTGGTGAGATATCGCGCATGCGCTAACACGTTAACGTAGCCAGAATGTGTACTGACTGGTATATGCAGCGGGGACCTGACATACAAGGTCTTCTACCTATTGCTTAAGAGGGTTTACTGATGAACTGCTGTCTTATAAATCTAAGCTAGACTACTTTCTCTCTATTTTAAATGCATAATCTTCACAAAATATTTTTCTTCTCGGGAGATATTGCGCATGCGCGCGCATCGTGTTAGGTTGCTGTGCCGTCTGAACAAAACTGCATAATATAGTTTGCCGAGAGAGAGAGAGAGAGAGAGAGAGAGATGGAGAGAGGGGTAGAAAAAGGAGAAAAGGCGGCAGGGATGATAGCTGAGGCGCCGTAAAAAAGAAGGAGGCTGAGCGAAGGACAAGGGAGGCAAGGGAAGGACGGGACGGGATGAAATAGGCGTTTTGCACCCCACATGCTATAGGGCGCTCTCCTAATTATAAACACAGTTCTACTGATAACAATTTATTACATAAATCTACAATGAGATACCCCCTAACCATAATAAATGCATATTCATCACAAAATATAACTCCTGTGGTGAGATATTGCGCATGCGCTAACACGCTAACGTAACCAGAATGTGTACTGACTGGTATATGCAGCGGGGACTTGACATACAAGGTATTTTACCTATTGCTTAAGTAAGGACCACTGGTGAAATGTTATTTATTCCTCTTCATTCTAAATGCATAATTAGACTGAAAAAAATGCATAATATAGTTCTTTTCCTTCATTTTTTCTCCTCTTGTTATTGCCTCCTTCTTTTTCTCCTCCTCCTTCTTTGATCGTTCAACCCCCTCCTCAACTATGTGTTCTCTATTTGACCTCACTGTCTTTTGTTAATTTTCGACGGTTGGAAAATTTGTCGGTTTTTCCGAACGGCAGCGTTTCTTGCAAACACATGACTCTATTTCTTTCATCTAACTGCTATCACTCTTCCCTTGCATCGCACCTCTAGCATGGTTAACGACTAATCACTCTTCCCAACGATGCGGGATCACACCTCGAGCGTCGTTGACGTCTGCGTGATGCCGCTGTAGATGTACGTGTTGTTGAGCGGCACAAATTGCTGCGTGACCACCTTGATCGCCTCCTGCGCGGAGGCGCCCCCTACGAGCGCCGCGACGGAAGCGAGCTCGGCGGCGCCGTAGCGACACACCTCGTGAATGTGGTCGTCGCGCGCGATCGCCGGCAGCCCCCACTCGGCGAGCAGCCGGCTCGCGCACGCCTTCAGCAGCGCAATGTCCGTCTCCACCTCCCCCGCGCGCGCACCGGGGTAGCGGCTGTGTTCGCCGCGGAACCGCCCGACGGCACGCAGCAGCACATACCACACCGTCGCGTTGTCGTCGCCGTCGTCGGCAGCGGCGCCCTCTAGCGGCGGGGCGGCTGCGTCGGCGGCGGCGCGCGCGTGTTCCTGCGCGAGCGAGCGGCAGCGCGTCACGTGCAGGAAGGCGGCGCCGCGGCAGAAGCGGCACAGGTCGTCGTCGTCGACTCGCGCCGCGGGCAGGCCGAGCTGCTGCAGCTGCGCGTTGACGCGCGCGCGCACGCGCTCGAGGTCGCGGCGTGCCCGCGCGCGGTACACGCCCTGCAGCGCCACGTAGCGGTCCGAGTCGGCGGTCATGTCCGGCAGCGTGCCGCGCAGAGGCAGCGAGCCGCCGCCCTCGTTGTCGACAAAGTCCTTGACGGCGCGTGCCATGATCCAGAACGCCTTGCTCTCCTTAGTGAGCCACATGCAGGCCTGCGGGCGAGACGCAGCACAGATTAGCGCAGGTGTTGCTGCAGTAATAGATGGCGCTGTCAGGTAGCTAGATGACACTGCTATATAGCTAGATGGCACTGCTACATAGCTAGATGGCACTGCTACATAGCTAGATGGCGCTATCATGTAGTTAGATGACACTGTCATGTAGCTAGA